AGTGGTTTTAAAAACACGTTTAAATAAATGTAAATAATTTGTTGTCTCATAAACACCTGAAAGCATCAATAGTTTTGGCGAATTGATAGCACCGGCAGACAGAATGACTTCCTTTCGAGCTCTCACTGTATACCTCTTGAACAAGCGATCAAACTCTACGCCCACTGCCCTCCTGTTCCCGTCAAACAGTACTCTCGTGACATAGGCTTTGGTCAATACGTGCAGATTATGTCTGTCCACCAGTGGCTCCAAATAGGCTTTCGCGGCCGACAACCGCATGCCATCCCTGGACGTGGTCTGGGGTATAGAGAACTGGGATTGTGTGGCGCCGTTGACGTCCCCCACGGGATACCCGAGCGCCGGACCCGCGCCCACAAACACTTCGGACATCCGTCTCGGCACGGATGGCGTGTTTACGGTCAGAGGACCGCCCACTCCGTGATAACCGGTGGCCACTAGTCTGGGGTCGCGATTGTCCTCGGATTTAATGAAATAGGGGAACACCTCCGGCCACGACCAGCCCCGGGCACCGGCAGCCGCCCACAGGTCGTAATCGCGAGGATTGCCTCTCATATATACCATTGAGTTGATGGTGGACGAGCCGCCCATAGCCTTACCCCTGGGCCACACCCCTCGGTGACCCTCCAGCCCCTGACACGCCTTACTCTGCGGCAGTGTTTTGAAGGACCAGTCCATCGGCGATGTCTGCAGATTAATGCTATTCATGGGAACGTCCGATAGGATGTTCTCAGCCATCCCGGCCTCCAATAGCAGTACGCTTATAGAGGGGTCCTCCGAGAGTCGGGCGGCCATTACAGCACCTGCACTCCCGGCGCCGATCACGATATAGTCGTATTCATTAAGCCATTGATGTCTTGAGACGTAAAAGAAGTGTTGAAATTGAGTTTCAATTATGATTAGCACAACCGCTGGTATTAATGGCACGTATGGTATACTAGAGGTCGACCTCAATAATGATGTGACAATTGATTGGCTTATAGTTATAATCTGGTCGTAGATTTGAAACATTTTTAA